ACTAATGTTTTTGTTATAAAAAAAATAATTATTACTATAGTTGATTATTCTGAATCCAAAGAACCAAAGGATCTACTTGAAATTGCTAAAAATATAAAAGAAATTGGAAATTCTTATTATAAAAAGTCAGAATATGAAAGTGCAATTAAAAAATACACAAAGGTAAAAAAAAAAGTATAAATTATATAAATTATTATTTAATTGTTTTATTTTTTTATTTTCTTACTTTTTAAATATTATTATTTTAGGCAATTCGCTATCTTAAAGGAAAAATTAACAGGACATACACTACCTACTACTATTATTATTATTATTAAATAGACTTTTTTCTCAAAAAAGATTTTGAAGATCTTCTAGTAACAATATCTTATATATTAACAAATCATTCACCTAATGCAAAATTTATTACTTCGTATCAAGAAAGAAGGTGGATTTACAAACACTTAAATATCTATATATCAAGTTATAAATTTATCTATTTCGTGAAAAATAACACTTTAATACTTTATATTATTATTTAATAATAAATAAATAATAGCTCAAAAAGAACAATTCAACATTATTTAGATAAATGGAACTTGGAAGCAAAATTAATTCCACTTAAATCATTTGACTTTAATTTTGAAAAATACACCGTTGATATTCCAATGGAAACTGTAGTAGAAGATGAAATAGGAGGAAAAGACCATATTAGGTCATTGCAAAGTATATTTTTAATTGAAATCAATAATAAAAAACAGTCAAAAAACAATAAAAAATGATAAATATATGATTTGTTTATTTTCTTCTTACTTTATTTCTTAATTACTCAACCAATCAGTTAAACATTTTACTATAAGCTTTCTTTTGAGCATTTGTTCTAGCAACGATTTTTTGTTTAGCTATTTGTAATTCTTTTAGAATTGCTGAATCTTTTGGATTTAATTTATTAGCTTCTTTTAAATCCTCTAAAGCTGCTTCCTCATCTTTCAAGCCGTTATATGCTGTGCCACGTCTATATAACGCCTTAACTTTATCAGTTGTTGATAAGTATTCGGATGGCATTTCTAACACTATATTAACATCATTTATTACATTTTGATAATGTTGTAAATTCAATGAACATGCTGCTTTATTTAAGTAACATGAAATTTTTAGTGAATGAAACTCTTTTTTTAGTTCAGGTGGGTCGTCTGTATCATCTAATATTTTCTCATTAAGATAGCGAATTGCCTAAAATAATAATATTTAAAAAGTAAGAAAATAAAAAAATAAAA